GTGGTATACAGGTAGTGCGTTTTATGGTATACAGATAGTGAGTTTTATGGTATACAGGTAGTGTGTTTTATGGTATACAGGTAGTGTGTTTTGTGGTATACAGGTAGTGCGTTTTATGGTATACAGATAGTGAGTTTTATGGTATACAGGTAGTGTGTTTTATGGTATACAGGTAGTGTGTTTTGTGGTATACAGATAATGTGTTTTATGGTATACAGGTAGTGTGTTTTGTGGTATACAGGTAGTGTGTTTATGGTATACAGGTAGTGTGTTTTGTGGTATACAGGTAGTGTGTTTGTGGTATACAGGTAGTGTGTTTTATGGTATACAGGTAGTGTGTTTTGTGGTATACAGGTAGTGTGTTTTATGGTATACAGGTAGTGTGTTTTATGGTATACAGGTAGTGTGTTTTGTGGTATACAGATAGTGTGTTTTATGGTATACAGGTAGTGTGTTTTATGGTATACAGGTAGTGTGTTTTGTGGTATACAGATAATGTGTTTTGTGGTATACAGGTAGTGTGTTTTGTGGTATTCAGATAATGTGTTTTATGGTACTGTCACTGCCATCAGGAAGGTTGTGGTTTATGTTTACTACTTTCTCGAGAACCTTTCTTTTTTTTGTTGTTCTGTCATTCAAGAATCTATTTCCTGCCAGGAGATAATGTGAGATTGAATGTATCGAAACTAGTTTCTTTAGTATCAAACCTTCTGATAGTTTGTTCCATTTACTGTGGTTTGATCCTCCGGTGGGCCAGAAGTAAATTTAACTGATTTACAATGCAAAAATCCGGAACTCGACTCCTTAAAATGGACAGAATTTATATGATCATTGTGTAGCTTTGCGATAAAATAATCAAACAAGCATCCTATCCATTTTTAAACTGTAAAATTCAAGGTTTTCGACTGACTGCAATTCAAGTTGCAATGTCTTCCGTCCCAACGCCCAGTACACGCTGTAGCACGTTTCCTTAACTTAAACATTTGTTATTTTCATATCCGACACATTACTCAATTTCACTTTCTTCTGGTTATGAACTTCAAGTTAAAACAACAAAAGCTAACAATCAAAGCTTATATCATAGACAGAGGGAACGAAACAATCCAACGAAGATATTTCGGCGGATCTCTGATATTCAAGGTTGAAATTAAATGTATAGTAAAATCCTTAGAACATAAATATCATACAAGATAGACAATGATATGTATTGACTACAGCGCCCTCTAGTAGCTCAGATGGTAAGCCTTAGCCAATGGTTTGTTTAGAACTATTTCTTGCTTTAGGATAGAAGATGGACAACGGGAGTTTCTTCTAATCACTGGTGGATATGTTACCTGTATAACAAGTTAGTTGTGTACAAAAACCACTTTTACAGGGGTATTTGTTTTACACTACAATTAGGTATGACCTACATTCTTATATATCGTGTTTATCATCTTTAGTTAATAATGTACAAATTGCTAATTAATTTGGACTTATTTTAGTGTTTTTATGGCGGGATATTATTATTTTTTATTCATCAGTAAAAATACCAGTGATTCCGCCGCCTAGCGAGAGTTTTAATAAGTACAGAATACAACATTTTTGGATACGCATGACGAAACGAACAGACAAATGATGTTAAATTTTAACTGTCATGCAAGTTAAAATAACTGTTAATATCATTATATCACATCAGTGTAGTTGTTACAGGTACTGATAAATATGGGTACATTGTCCACGAACATTAAATATACCACAAGAAAGGATTTTATGTCAAATGATGTTAAACAGAAAAGCAGAAACTGACTAAAGTTTTCGCTATTTTCTTAAACGTTGAGTATCAGGATGATTGTTTTTAAAGATACTAAACTAAGTTTTTAAAGCCACACGTGCATTCAGTAAAACAAGCACTGACTGTTCTCCAATAGGATGTTAATATATATATATATATATACTTAATTGGGTTTACAATACTTATTGTTTTTTATTAGCAATATTTTTTATCAACCACTTGTTTAATGGACTTGCGGTATTTTTTACATGTATGAAAATGGCATAGCGCTAGGAATTAAAGTTTCAAGCTATGTAATAATATTTATATAATATTTAAACACAGTAGGTGTTTATGATAACTGTTTTAAGCGCAAGTGTTACGTCATTTATGACAATATATGCAAGATGAAAGTTAAAAAAAACATATCTTTTTCTGAACAGTTAAACAGAAAAATTCGAGTAAATTCCGGGCCGAATGCTGCCCAGTGGTCAGTGTGCCGAACTGAGATTCAATTATTCGTGACCCGTTACCACACACACAAATAATAAAATAAAATCGCGCTCCTCACTTTGGGACCTTTGGTGCGTTGTAAGAGTGACCGTCAAATTCTACTATTAAGTCTAACAAAGGTAGCCCGAAAGTTGGCGGTGAGTGATGTTGAATAACTGCCTTCTCTCTAACCTATCATTCCAAAACCAGGGAGATAGCCCTTATGTAGCTTTTCACGAAATTCAACAAAAACAAACACGCAGAATTCTGTCACTCCACTAACGCACGTTCCTGCCCCTGTCTCTCTTCACGTTAGTTTAATGTAGTGCGAGAGATTTAGCCTGATCTGCATTTTGTCGTGTTCTGTGTAATAGTCTTCCACAAACTCTGCCAATAGTGGCTTTTATTACCAAAGACTCTACAATAAATCTAAAATAAAGTTTTTATTTCAAACTCTCTCTTCTTTTATATTTGGTCTGCTCGTGTCTTCTTTGTCCAAAACAAAATCACCCCCCCCCCAAAAAAAGCAACGTAAGTTTGTATGTGTTCTTTTAGAGTGTATTAGTTTCGGTATAAATATATAACGATTTGAAAGTCAGCTTGTGCTCTTATTATAGTTTAATTTTGTAGACAACAATTTAACAACCAGCGGAATTGGTTAATACTGTAAATGCTTGTTATAAAAGCGACCAGCTTAGTGAAAAAAATCTTACGTCAGAACTGAGATTTTGTAATAACTACAACTCAAAGTTAGTCCTGGAAGAGAGAGAGAGAGAGAACACCTTCTCATCTTCAAATACTAAACACATTTTAAATTGTTTATGAATGGATTGTCCTCTTCTCTGCAGTCGCCCAGGCAACTCAAACACGTTGTTTCATTACTACTGTACGTTGATAACAGAAGTTCCGCGTGTTTATTAACGAAATATTTTAGGAACGCTGATACCAAAAATATTTTACATATTCAACGGTAACTTCATGGAAAACGACTTTCAGTTACATAAGAATATACATATTACACATTTGTATGTATGTATGTGTAATAAAAATAAATATGTACTTAATTGTGCTGAAAAGTAAAAGAGTGATAAAATAATCCAAATGTTTATTTTTATAAAATTCAGTTTGTGATAGATTCTTACACCACCGTACACAGTTTAATAGGAACATTGAATATTATGTGTTGTATATTTAGTTTCTCTACCTTATGTAACCCAAGTAGGCTTGATGATAACGTTGTCATTACTGTAAGTCTCCTAAAATCTTTGTACACGACTAGAAATCTTTAGTAGTTTTAACCCTCAAGTTACTGACTTGTTTGTACACCGACCACAAGGGTTCACATATCTTACCTTATTGTGTAACCATATTATTGCGTGTCCTTTCAGCCGTGGGGGCGTTATAATGTGACGGTCAATCCCACTATTCGTTGGTAAAAGAGTAGCCCAAGAGTTAGCGGTGATGACTAGCTGCCTTCCCTCTAGTCTTACACTGATAAATTAGGGACGGCTAGCGCGGATAGCCCTCGTGTAGCTTTGCGCGAAGTTAAAAACAAACAAACTCGTTTAAAAAATATTGTATGACATCATTCAATTTCTAAATAAAACACAGAGATACGCCTAGTGTAAAATAGTGGAATTAAATAACTTTTGTTTTCTGTGACTCGTATATTATTCTGGACTCTGTAACTAAGAAAATATGGAACTGGAATTCTTTTGTTGGATAAATAGCTGAGGGAAAAGTCTTTAAAATCCCATTGGTATTTTTAGGATAAAATATTTGAAGTTTCGTTTAAAAAACAACAACATCGCTTTGGGAAGTTGTATCGAATCGCCTTCTCTAGAGATAATCAGTCGATGTTATGACGTATACCAGTTAGAAAGTAGAACCCGTATTTTTAACGTTACGGTGTGAAACAGTTCTCGTACCTGCGATATTTGCTGGAAATGAGTAAACTATTATGTTGTGAAAAACAGATTTGTAACTTAGAAAATGATGTACTTATTAAAGTTTTTTAAACTTTTTTTCAAACCGGAATTCGCACATCTTGAATCCGTCAATTTGAAACTATAAAATTGTGTTTCAAGCTTTATCTGGGTTATCATAAAGTATAGAGGGGGATTTAATAGGTAATACGGGGGTGTAGAATAATTTAGTAACAACCGTATAATAAGTGTACGCATTGAATGAGAATTTTTGTGACTTCATTTCACTTTGAACTCCAGCATCACGTAAGCGATTGTAACAGTGTTTCTTTCTTTCAACAGATGTCAGCACTGTATTAGAACTCTATACTGTGACGTGTCCACATTGTGATGAAGTTTTATCCGGTAATCAGACTCTTTACGCTCTGCGAGATCATATCAGAGTAGCTCATAAAGAACTACAGGAGCCTTCAGATAAAAAGGAAGAAACTAAACATGTGTGTAGTAAATGTAGTTTCTCATTTCTGGACAAGTCCCATCTGGAGAAACACGAACTTATCCATACAGAATCAGATAAGGTTAGTCAAATATTTCTGGTATTACAACGGTCAGAAGTTAAAACACCACGTTGAAAATACATTTCATTAAAAAAAAAAAAGTGAGAATTTTATGTTTATTTATCCCTTATTTAGGTATGCAACTAAATGTTCCACGTAAAAAAAATCAAACGTTATTTGAAAAGTAAAGAATGAACGGAACAAAATTTTGAAACACATTCTAAATAATAAAATAACGTGCTGTAGGTGATTTAAAACGTTAACTTCTATAGTTGAGCTTCAAAAAATAGAATATTAGATATACGCTTTTCGAGGATCGACCGTTGAGGTTAATTTATACCCCTTGATGACCCGAACTGAGGTTAATTTATACCCCTTGACGACCCGAACTGAGGTTAATTTAAACCCCTTGACGACCCGAACTGAGGTTAATTTAAACCCCTTGACGACCCGAACC